TTTTTTTGCGGTCGATTTCATCCAAGTTTTATCTCGGAATCTCACTATAGGGACTAGTCCCAACTGGAGAAAGGCGTTTAGCACGAAGCTGACGCGACGCGGCCAAAGCCGCTTTATTATCTCCGGAGCATGGGTCACCGCTAGAGCACGTAGACTCACATCGAAATACGATAGCGCCCCGCGTTTGCGTGTGCTTTCTTTGTATGGACATCGTCCTTTCAAACTGAGACTAAAGTTTTTGAGAAAACAAGTACTTTATGAAATTTCAAGCCCTTTCAAGAAGAGGGTGGGAAAATCTTAACCATGCCGCAAAAGAGGGCACTTGTAAGTGACGTGCACTTACCGTCATTTGGCATTGTCAGAATTGGTAGCTGAGTGATTGTTCCACGTCTGCCTTTCATCCTACCAGCTCTCTCAAATATACTCGACAAATCAGTGTACATGTAAGCAGGAAAGCCTCTACGTCCTGGAACATCTCCACGAGCTGCTGCGATCTGGAATTTGCCTAGTCCGCAGCTTTTTTGACATGAAAATGCACTATAGACCTCTCTCACAGCCTCGGCGTAGGCTGTCATGTCCGTCATGACAACAACCACATGGCGCCCACATTGGTAAGCCAAGAATTCTGCTGTAGTCAGAGCAAGGCGAGGCGTAAGAACTCGTTCCAGTGTAGGATCCGCTGCAGTGTTTAGGAAAATGCAAATGTTTTCATGACTCCCTGGAATGAATTACATCTACAGTACGACAAGGTATTCATAAATCGAAATTGCCTGAATTCGACTACTTCGCAAACCCTTACCCTTCGCACCGCTACCGTGCTGCGGTAACCTGCACGCCCGCTGGATGACCAAAAGCCCTGCAGTATGTGCAGACAGTTAAACGATAGAAAGAAGTCCATATTTTTTGAGGACACAGATCCAAAAGAATTATGTATTTTTCGCTGCTCAAAATTTTTGCATTACAGCGCAATTATGCGTACCGAATAGGCGGCTGGAAGGGCAACGGCTCGCACCCGCGCCGCATCTGCGTCGCTCCCGCGCGCATGCTCTCTG